AATAACTGTAAGGGCGCAGTATAACTATTGGGCATTCTTCTTCAAGGCTGGGTCCTCATTGAGATAATCGATTTGGGTCTGCTGCTTTGGACTGTGGGTAAGGAATGGGTGCTTCCCCATATGGAAATAAGTCCCCTTGGATAGAGAGCTAGTATGCCAGGAATATGGCAATACTACTCCCCTTCTTTCCGATAGGTTAGCTTTCTAAGTGGATGGGGTGCTCTTTGTATTTTGGAGCAAATTGTCCCATGGGACCCCATCCCGTCACTCTGACGTGACACAGCTCAGATGGAATATGGGTGCTTTCTTGGACAGGGTGAAAGGAGAAAGATGTCAAAGAGCCCTGTGGGTTCCTGCCTGCCCCTCCCCACCTTTCACGGCCTCAGCCTTCTGCTCCTTCGGTTGTGAAACTCAGACATGAGAACCATTTAATGGAAGACTATTTGGAGCTAGGCTGGGCTCCCTGCCACTTTGACCTTTCGGACAAGCTAAATTTGTTCTTCTGCAAACAAGTTGTGTTATTTATAGTTGCGATGACAGGCCTTCAGGGCAGTGGGGGCCTGTGGTCCAGTGGAAATGCACACCCCATCCCGCCCCAGAAAATGAGGGGCACCGATTGGACCCAAAGGTAAAGAACTATGATTGATGGTAATCCCAGCTAAAGAGGCCGGGATTAGCTGGCTGTCATTACAAGGGACCCTCGTAACTCAAGCCAGCCGCCGTCCTGATTGATGACGGGATTTGGAATGGCTGAATCCTCAACCCCCACTTGGCACAGCAGGGCGCAGAGCATCAGCCTTGGCATAAATAAACCTGTAAAGGTTATTCAACAGTTCTCGGCCACACAGTGTCTCAAGAGGATCCTGCTACTACCAGCTGCAAAAGCACCAGCCGTTGTCATGTTACACCTTTCTGTAACACTTGGGTACCACGTTCCTTATCTCCCCCCCCCCCACTCCGTAAGGAGGCTAGTTGGAACAAAATGGCATTGACTCAGATTCTTCCTTGTATATGGAACCAGGTTGCAGAGATTGTGGGTGGGGGTCTCATGGCACTAAGGGTGGAGGGAAGGGATGAAGTTAGGAGGTCCAACCCTCTTTCAGCCCACAACTTTGTGTGGAGTGCACCACAATGAGGCTAGGGCTGAGTCATCCTTCCGAGGAGGGGGAGCATAACTTCCCCAAAAGTTTGAGCAAAGGCCTCTTTGAAGTACTTCCAAGAACACCGTGGTGCCCTGCTTTGAACTGGCAGAGCAAAGCTGCAACAGCTTAACCAAAGTGGTTTTGGGGCACCTTATGATCAGCATGAAGGGGTTAAGGGAGTAACATCAATCTGGCCTTGATGCTTCACAGGGGGAATGTGTTTGGACACATCAAGGCACAGCAAATTGAAACCGCCTGTCTTTGCAGGCCATTTCCCTACGTTGCCTTTGTGCTGTATCCACTCTTTGTATCGGCACAAAACGCCATCATAAAATTGGACATCCACACCACCAACCCCAATCCTGTCTCTCTGCCATCTGTTGTGATTCCATGCTGAACCATGCCCTCTGCCCATTGTGGCTTGCTGCTGTCCCCCTTCAGCCCATCACAAGTCAGCAGGAACAGCTGGGGCCGCAGCACCAAGCAGGTGGGTTTGGCATCGCTGTGCAATTCCACCATGGCTTCGCTAGGATGGGTGATCTGCTCCTCCTCCAACACCCCATTTGGACACCTCACATATTAAAAATAATGTGACAATAAAGGCACCCATGGGTGAATATAAATTGGTTTTATTTGCAGATGATATTCTTTTGTTTATTTCTAAACCTCACACTACTATTCCAGTGTTGATTCAAATGATAGAAGCCTTTAGTAAAATAGCAGGATATTCTATTAACTGGTCCAAATTGGAATTGATGCCAATAGGTGAAAATTTGGTGACCCATCCCTTTAAGGAATATCAATTCCATATTTGTACCAAATCTATTAAATATCTAGGTATGTGTATACCAAAAGATATAACTCAGTTAGCAACATGTAATATAAATAAAATATAGAGAGAAGTTTCTTCAGATATCAATAGATAGGAGTCATTAAACCTCACCCTTTGGTGAAAGGTGAACGCTCTCAGAATGAATGTTACTCCCGATTAATTTATATTGTGAGAGGAATTCCAGTTTTTATATCTGGAAAATATTTTCAGAAAATAAATTCTTTATTTATAAAATTTCTATGGGGTCTTCAATTCCGAGAATATCTTTACAGAAAATGTAGTTGCCAATTAATGAGGGACAATTCGGTTAATTCGGTTTTCCAAATTATATCATCATGCTTACCTATTGTCAAGTATTAAATACCGGAGGCCAACAATTGGTGCTAATTTTCCGATTTGGGCAACTTTGGAATATACATATATAGCACCTTTGGTTGAATGGACAGTTTTGGATCTAAATATACTAAAACTTGAACACCTCTAGAAACAATTTTGTCAGAAAGTTATGGATTGTAATATCTAATAAAAAAAGACCTGACCCTTTTTCCCATGCCAAACTGACTTTATGGGGAAACCCAACTTTAAAAATTGGGAAAAGATGGTGATATAGAAAAACTGGATGGAAGCGGAGATATTGACTTTGGACCAACTGATGAAGATGAATTTTTAACATATTCTGTGTTAAGAGATAAATATCATCTATCAGAGTTAACCCAATGGCAATATTTACAGTTACAACGTTTGTTAACAACAGTGTTTGGACCAGCAGCATTTTCAGCTTCTGAGACACCTGAGAGATTAGAACAACTTGTAAATCCTTTAAAACTAGAAAACCTACTATTAGTTTGTATAGATATTTGTTATCAATAAATCAATTTGATATGTGGATGTTAATGGATGAGTGGAATAAAGAATTAGTGGTTTCTATATTGGCTAGACAATGGGAGAGTGTCTTAACTTCTACAGCAAGAGCGTCAGTGGACCTCAAATTATGACTTATACAACAAAAAATAATATTTAGAATGTATTGGACTTCATTACGTTTGTATAAAAGAGAATTGTCAAAAACAGCATTTTTTGGAGATGTAATAAAGCTATTTCGATAATGAAGCTCAAGCTCAGATACTTTGGCCACCTAATGCGAAGAGTGGACTCTCTGGAAAAGACCCTGATTCTGGGAAAGATGGAAGGCCAAAGGAGAAGAGGATGGCAGAGGATGAGATGGTCAGATAGCATCACTGAAGCAATGAGCATGAAACTGAGCCAACTCAGGGAGGCAATAAAGGACAGGAAGGCCTGGTGTGATGTGGTTCATGGGGTCACAAAGAGTTGGATGCGACTTAACGACTGAACAACAATAAATAAAGCTATTGCTTCTTTAAAACATGTTTCTACAATGTCCCACACTTACCATGTTTTGGGAGAAAGTAGTGGACTATATAAATATGATTGTGCAACAAAAGCTAAAATTTTCAGAGGATAATTTTCTTTTGAACTATATACCAAAGTACATGGAACTTGACAACCAGACAACGTAAATGGATCCTCTGTGCCCTTACTATGTCCAAAAGACTGCTATTGCAGCACTGGAAAGATAAATGTACAGCCCCATTTATTCAGTGGATCGAAGACCTGATTGCACTTGCTACTTACAAGCGGATTGCCTAGAGACGTAGGCTTTGTACGGACAAGTATCATGAAGTATGGGACTCATTTATACAACATACAGTAGGTTAAAAAAAACACATGATAGTCATATAAATGTATGAAAAATATATACATACTTGAATATTTACATTAGATAAGGATGTAATAGTATATATAGAATTGTAATTGTTTACTGTTATGACATATAAACTTTTTCCCCCTTTGTTGCATTTCTTTCACTTTTTTGTTAAAACACTTTCTATGTGTTTTTTTTCTTCTTCTTCTCAATCATTATTTATTTATTTATTTATAAAACATTGTTAAAGGAGGGGCAGGGAGCAAAGCCAAGCCAACTGGTGGCCTGGCTCCCTTGGTCCCACCCTCCCTTGTTATTTTGCCTTTTAAACCAGCTTTGTGGAGCAGGAATCCAGCAGTCCTTACTGTCTTCCTCTTCTACTGTCTCTATCCCCCCATACAAGCTAACCGCCTGAGAGCAGTGCCCAATCCTAAGCATACCCCAAGAGACCCTCAGAGTCCAGGGAACTGGACGCTGCCCTTCAGCGGGATAGAAAGATGGCTGCCGGTGAAGAACAGGGATTGATTTCACTCATCACCATGATGTCACAATTGTCCTCCCAGAGCTCAGTTCTCGTGCACCACAATTCACAAACTAGGGCTACTAGCGCATGGGGATTATGCTTTAATCATGGAGAACACAAGGTGAAAAAGAAGGGCACCCACAACAGTTGAGATGCACGAGAGATCCAAATTCATTTGAGGAAAAAAAGAGCAGGGAGATGCATTCACCTGGCCAGAGCTGTGGGTTATGGAAAAAGGCACTAGACCCAAGTTCACATGAGCAATGCTGTATTGTGCAGAAGTGGGAGACCAAGGCTGCCTAGGTTCACACGACACACTGAACCCTAAACTAACTATATACATCGGGGTTAACACAACGCACTGAGCCACAAATTAGCCAAATACATCTTAGCCTTTTGTATGTGTGAACAAAACCCTCCAGGGTTGGCCTCTTCATGGTCTTTATTGAATGTGCAGTTACTGTTCTTGGAGTTTGCTTGTTATTAGAGAAAATCTGTTCCGTCACAGCTCAGCTTATAATTGTCTCTCCTTATGTGCATTTTCATAGAAGCATTTCTATTAAGTAAATGCTCAGCTTAAAGGTTCCTCGTAAAACCCTTTACTATGAACTGAAAATCAGAAGTCATAAAGGCAGAAGGGTCTGCAGGAAGGGAAAAACATCAATTAGGCAGCTGAGATTGCATGATCAAAGCTCCCCCCCTTTTTAAACCCCCCTCCCAGCATAAAGGGAGTAAAATTCCTGATGAACTCCAATTTTTTTCAAATGTCCGCCTTAAGTAAGAAGTGGCGTCCACCTCTCACAATGCCATTTGGGACCCTCTAGAGCAGTGTTTCTCAACCATGGCCACTTTAAGATGTGTGGACTTCAACTCCCGCCCAGAGTCACCCTCCGGGGGAGACAGGCAGCATACAAATTAATTAATTAATTAATTAAATAAACAAACAAACAAACTCCCAGAATTCCCCAGCCAGCTTCTGTAGGCTGCTCTAGAGCTCTCCCAGAGGCATCAAGAGAGGGATGAAATTTCTGCAGCTATTTTATGGGGCGGGGCGGGGGGAGACAGGTGATTTTAAGGAGCAAAATCGGTACCTTGAGCCTTGCAGAGGCTTTAAGCATCCATTGCATTCCTTAAAAAACCCTGAAGAAAGAAAACAAGAAAACAAAAATTCAGGGTGATTCCTTCCCCATTTCTTGCAGAGGTGAGAGTAAAATGAGTGCTGTGCCGGAAGGCACCCGTTGCACCCCTGAAAACCTCCATCCAAGCGCACACAATCTAAACTTTCTGGCCCAAATCCATTCCAGGGACACCGCTGGTCACCCCTTCATCAGTCCCCAGGTAGGAAGTGGACTGTCCCTCCCTGGGAGAAAACTGATCTCTTCCCAGCCATCTGGAAACGCTGCATTTTGCTCCATGCCTTCTTGGAGGGAGTTCAATCCAGGGAAGATCCAGCAATGTCCTGATGCTTATTAGGAAGACAGATGGACCAACGGTGTCATTACAAATGGAACTGATCCCTCCTCCTCCTCCCTTGAGCTGTTCCAGCGAGAAGGTCTCAGTTAACACGGCCGGCCTGGATCCTGTTGTCCACCCCCTGCTGTGTAATCCTCTCCTGACATCCCCATAATTGCCATTTTACTCCATTGCAATGTGACACTTCATAAGAAGACTTAGGGAAGGACTCCGGGGTCGGAGAAAGACAGTGGGTGGAGAATTCAGGGGCATGGCCATGGGTTGAGTTAAATTTGGAGTCCTTCTACAGACTTTAGTGGCGTTGCTGTGGATTTACACCACAGTCCGAGCAGGTGTCAACAGCCGTCCTGACTCCCAAGCCTTTAGGAAGCAGCGCTGGCATTTGACTCTAACTGCTCAGGCCCAAGTGTATTTTGTGTTGCTTGCCAGGCTGTCGCTGTGCTTGCTTGCTTCCTTCTCCCTCCCTCCCCTCCCCTCCCTTCTCTTCCCTTCCCTTCCGTTCCCTTCTTCATCCATTTACTTCCTTCGCTTCCCTTCCCTTCCGTTCCCTTCTTCATCCATTTACTTCCTTCGCTTCCCTTCCCTTCCGTTCCCTTCTTCATCCATTTACTTCCTTCGCTTCCCTTCCCTTCCGTTCCCTTCTTCATCCATTTACTTCCTTCGCTTCCCTTCCCTTCCGTTCCCTTCTTCATCCATTTACTTCCTTCGCTTCCCTTCCCTTCCGTTCCCTTCTTCATCCATTTACTTCCTTCGCTTCCCTTCCCTTCCGTTCCCTTCTTCATCCATTTACTTCCTTCGCTTCCCTTCCCTTCCGTTCCCTTCTTCATCCATTTACTTCCTTCGCTTCCCTTCCCTTCCGTTCCCTTCTTCATCCATTTACTTCCTTCGCTTCCCTTCCCTTCCGTTCCCTTCTTCATCCATTTACTTCCTTCGCTTCCCTTCCCTTCCGTTCCCTTCTTCATCCATTTACTTCCTTCGCTTCCCTTCCCTTCCGTTCCCTTCTTCATCCATTTACTTCCTTCGCTTCCCTTCCCTTCCGTTCCCTTCCCTTCCCTTCCCTTCCCTTCCCTTCCCTTCCCTTCCCTTCCCATGAACTGTCTGTACAATCAGCTCTGGGCCCACTTTACCATGCTCTCATTGTGTCTCCTTCTCCCTGGCCAAGGAGTTACAGCCCTGAGCACATTACCCAACCTTGCAAGGTAAGAAAACCCTCTCACTGTGATAATGCTGTGATGGCTTGGTCACACAATACACAAAAGGCAAACATGTTTTCTCAAACACGCTGAACCATTGACTACCTGACCCTATTTGAACTGAGTCTAGCGTGTGGTTCGAATGCATCCACCAAATATTGACATTAGTCTAGTAGTAGGGCGTGGGCAAGAGTTAAGGTTCCCCTTACTCTTGACTGTACAACTCAAGTTGCACAACGCGCTAAGCCGGGGCTCCTGCATCTGTGTGTCAGAAACTCAGAAGACCTCTAGATGGCAGCAAAGGGACACAGAAAACACGCTTTTCGGGGGATTTAATTGATTGCTGCAGTTTTATGTTTTGAATCATGGCAGTGATTTGACTATAGTACGGCAGAAGCTAGGGAAAAGATCCTTGGTTGTCATCATGTAAGGCTTTTTCCTGTTTGGAATGAAGGACCTCTCTGGGAAATGGGGAGGGGGCAGCCCTCTTTCCCCGAATGAATGGCTGCAAAAAGTTTAACGTGCAGGTGAAATGGGCTCATCCGCTGTAGCGTATCTCCTTTCCTTGCTGGGCGAGGTGGACCCTTCTGGGGAGCAACTGCCCAAGCAGGCCGAGAATGCCAGGTCCTGAATCTGCAAATTTCAGGCTGGACTTGAATGTCCTGTTAAGGCCAGCTGTGACTTCACAGTCAGTCAAGTAACAATGGGAAGGGGCTACTAGTACAGCAACTAGCAGCCAATGGGGTTCCCCGAAGGCTGGAGAAAGCCTGGGATTTCAAACCAAATTGTGACTTAGGGAGTGATGTTCTATGGTGCCAGAAAGGAGCGGGCAAGGCATGGAGCATCCCTGGTTTAAGATGCGCTGCCCCTTTAAAAGCCGTGTGCCTCCAGAGGTAGGTGGGGGGAGAGGGGAATAGTAGGAGAAATATTATTGATTGATTGCACTCGGTTTTCTTATTTGGCTCGGCCCAAAAGACTCCAGAAAGGGCTTGCTACAAAACCTGAAATACAGATTCGGTATAAAACAATGAGCGTAAAATCCGGGCAGCCGAGAGAGATGAAGTGCCTCTCTATAACCGGTATTAAAACGGAGGACAGCTCAGAGACACAGAGGGATTGAGCCAGGGGCATGTGCAAGGTGGGGCAAGAGGGGCACAATCTGCATCACGAGCATCGCGATTCACAAGGCATCATCATGGCTTGTCCTGGACAGCCCCTCTCTCCTCTGACTTTCACAGGCTACACGGGTTGCAGAATCAGAGAATCGGGTTGGCATGGCTGCGTGGATTGAGTTCACACATTGCACCAAAAGCCATTATGCATTCTTGCTTGCTTTGGGCTTAGGGCGTTGTGTGAATCCAGTCACTGTGGTTGGTGAACAATGACCTGAGCATGATGCAGGAACCAAGTCATATACTCATTTGCACACCCCTCTCTCTCTCTCTCTCTCTAGGCACGGCCATATACAATCTAACCATCCTCCTCCACTTGCACAGATCTTGTTCCCTTTCCTCCCGGCCACTGCCAATCACTGGTTCCCTTCTGCCCATAGGAGAGAGAGAAGCAAATGGTCTGGCCCCTGCCAGTTAGCTGATGAGGTGAGTGGGGGGGATCAAGCTGCTCGGTTGCCATCAATAACGAAGGGAAGGGACCAGGGGTCGGTTTTCTGCAACCCGATAGCCGTGTTGAACTGAGGAGGTGATGCTTCAGGGCTAAAGAGCACTCACCCATAAATATACAGATGTGAAAACCGCAGACAGGACAGAACTTTGAATGACCCCTTATTGAATGGAACGGGGCATTCTTAATATGTACAGTTGCAATATTCATCATCTCCACGTGGTATGGATGAGAAGTATTGGCTCTCTGGGGTTTTTCTGTCACCATGGATGAGAACAGTAGTGTAGATTAAATGAACTGAATGGGTTGCGTCTTGATTTACAGGACGATGCATCCCTGGCCAGTGGTTACAGCAGGGGGCAAAACTTTCTCTGGGCTAAGAGCCACATTTGGCCTTCTTGGCAGATGTTCTGGGAACCTTACTGCAAAGATTGGGAGGCCCAGACTACAATCAAAATGTGATTTCACTTTAATTTAAATTTAATTAAAACAAAATTTGATTAATGATAATGCTCAGTCATGTATTTAATAACCTCCATCATGTAAACATTACCATTTGGCAACAACCTTTCTAGGCTTGTGGGTATCCTGACCCCTCCACGGGGGCACCTGTGCTTTAGAGGGTTAGAAAATGATGGAGGAGATCCATGTTCATGTCACTATTCAGTTCCTGCTTTGGATTATTGAACAACAATGAAATGTTGAATCAATCAATCAGTCAGTCAAGCTCTCTGAGTCACTGTGAGCCACTCACTTTTTCTCATTCTATCACAAGGGGCTAATATAAAGATTAAAAAGGAGAGGGGAGAAGTACCAAATTTATCATCAAACTCCTAAATATAAAGCAGAACACAAAAGCAACATAAGGAGGAAGGAAGGAAGGAAGGAAGGAAGGAAGGAAGGAAGGAAGGAAGGAAGGAAGGAAGGAAGGAAGGAAGGAAGGAAGGAAGGAAGGAAGGAAGGAAGGAAAAGAAGAGGGAGTGTTGGCTTTTCTCTTCCTACTGTGAAATTGCTATAATATCTTTTGTGGGAGTAGCTCATTTCAGACGACATGCCAAAACGTTGGTTTAACTAACTTCAAATGATGGTTAACTGTATTTGTTTTTAGTTCCTATCTTTCCAGTACTTGAGTGTTAAGAGTCTGAAATGTAATTCTTCCATTCTTCTGAAAGACCAATAGCTTCCTAGCAATACTTTGTCAGTTCAGACTTCACAACAAATCATTAGCAAGAACTATGATTTACCGATGTGGTGAAATATGGTCTGTTAATGTCAATCATGAGTTTCTCACCTGGACAACAATTTGCTTCATAAATCCTTATGCCAGACTCCCACCCCCTGCTACAGTCCAGAGCTGGTGGGAAAGAAGGACTGGGAATTCTGGGAATGTCTTGGGGGTCCCGATCAGGATGCTGACAACTCTTTTCCCAGGATCTCCTTTTCCTAAGGTTAGGAAAGGCTACTACCCATAATTATCTTGCTTGTCCCATTCTGCCCCTACTTCAGATCTTTTCTCTGGTATAGGTTTTCAATTCTCCTTTTGAAACACAGCAACTGGGACTGTACATATTATTCGGTGGAGTGCACCAGGGATTTCTATCAAAATATAGGTGCCATTTTATTTTCCTCGTAATTCCTAACATGCAAACTGTTCCCCAGACTGCTGCAGAACAGGCTCATTTTTCCCATCAGTCATCATCAGCAAATTCATTGATAAGCTACAACTGAAATACAGGCGTGCACATACACCTTCCTTGAGTTAGGCAAGCAAATTTCTTATTTTCAGCCCCTGAAAAAAAAACACAGACTTATTCATATAGGCTTTGGATTAGGCACCCCATAGCTTCATCTCTCGTGAGTTTTCCTTAATAATAATAAGAAATAATAGTTAGTACTATTTCTATGGCCGCCCATCTCACTGTAGCAACTCTAGGCAGAAGGCATTAAAACAAGACATGCAACCTGTAAGGCAGCCAAAGTAAATACGTTAAGAGTTTAGCAAGACATTATTCCCTATATATATGCCCCCAGGGAAAAAGTACAAGCAGATATCTCTGACCCCCAAAGATCATAATTTTTATTTTTTTATATATATAAAATCCAATGAGCTGACACGTAAGAACAGTCATAGGCTCAAAAAGCTTTAATGGAGTCTTCTCTTCCTTAGTTCCCATTTGAACAGTTTTATCATTTGTGCTTTCTTCCAGAGACAACTGCTTTAGATATGGCCATAGGCCCTCTTATTTTCCTGGCTGTCCTGGCGTTAGTCCATCACCCCCGGATGGTCAGTGACATCACAGATTCGGCCACACTGGATCGTCTCCAGGAGCATGAGAAGCGGCTAACTTCAGAAATGGGGCGCCTCCAGGTGGAATTGGACCAGAAGAACTGGGACTGGGATCCAAGACAGAGCCAGGAGCAATGGACCACAGATGACCTAACAGCAGAAGATGGAACCTGGGATGGGTGGCATTACGTAGGGCTAGTCATCCTCATCCTCTTTGGATGCTGCAGATGCACCATTGAGAAGGAACCTAATTACGATTCCAGCACCGACAGCTCCAGCACCACCACCAACGAAGACTACGAGGACACTGACCTGGAACCGGAATATTATGAACCCAAGCAAAAATTGCTGGACGATTTTTATGACCACCACATTGAGATGGAAACTAGTGAGACGACCAGCTTGTGTGATTTTGTGGAGACGTTTGTGAATGATTTGCTTGAAGAGAGTCGGAATGCCCTTCCCTACCAAAACACACTTCCTCTGCTGGAGAACTGCATTGGAGTGGGCAGTGCCTTTGAAGGATGGCCCACGAAGAAGTTTTCGAAAACGTTCTGTGTCCTTGTGCCTGTATTGCCACCCAAGGGCCACTCCTTCCACGTTGAAACAAGTGATTCTGAGGGTGCTCCAAGCAAGCATGGGCATATTTCGGTAGAAATGGAATGCATGTGTAAGAGAGAGAAACTGTTGGGGGATGTGGTATGCTTCCTTCATCACCCGGAACGAAAACTGAGCCAAGAAGAGCAAGGCAAATCCCTCATGCATGTTCTTTGCACCAGTTCCCATTTGGATGGGGAGAAAACCATCCAGTGGTTCCAAGCTCTGCTAAGCAAGGTCTGGGATACTCTTGGTCAGAAGTACAATTTAAGTCTCACAATCCTGCATTCCAACAAAACTTGCCAGCTGAAATTAGAATTTCCATCCAGGAAGATCTTTATCGACATCTTACTTGGAGTGCAGCAAGGAGACTCTCTGGTCTTCCTGACCACCCAAGATGGCAAAAAAGATAATCTAAATGGTAATGTTTGGCATAAAAGCTTTGCTATTCAGGAGCTGCTCTTTTTCAAATGGGTGAGCCAACGAGCTCCCAAGGACAGCTGCCACCTGAAATGCCTTCAGATCCTCATCTTTTTCAAAGAGTCTAATACCCCGGAAAAGAAGAACCCAGTGCTCACTAACTATCACTACAAGACTTGTTTGATGCACCTCTTGCTTCTGTGGCCTCTGTCCTATTGGGAGCCCGAGAAAATTGCACAAAGACTTCAAGACATCCTCTTGTACATGAATGCTGCCCTGGAAGAAAAATATCTCGAACACTTCCTCATAGGGAACATTGCCTTGCCTATTCAGATCCCTCTGCCTAAGAGCCTCCGAAGTGCTGTCCCCTTCAACCTTTTCGAGCACTTGGCCCAGGATCCGAACCTTCATGCCAAGGCAATAAATGAGTTTGTGGATGTTGTAGAACAAGTGAGGGTTCTCTGGTTAGCACCTGAAGAATAGCAACATTCAGCTCCATTTGAAAGACCAGCTTCCTTTGGCTCATCCCTGAACCACAAATCCTTAAGGGGGCCAAAAAGATGGGAAGCATTGTCTCCAGCAGTGAAACAAAGCTGGATTAGCTGTATCAGATCATCAATGATCCCGGAACGGGGTTTGGGTACGCTTCAGAAAGATCTGGGGAAAGGCCAGGAGTGCTTCAAAGGGCCCTTCAAGTCAGGTCAGCTTCCTAGTGACAGCTATTCTTCAGTATTTTTCTACATTTCAATTCCAGACAAATTTGCTCTATTAGACTTGAAATAAAGGTTCCAGCAAGCTCTGTTCTTAAGCTTCTTATATCACCCTTTCTGGACTAATGAAATTAGAATCTCCTACCAGTTTCCTGAGTTCAGTTCAACTTTTCCCAACCTGGCTGGGTTGGGAATGCACATGTTGGGAATGCACTGTGTCCCAGATGTGAAGGCTGAGTTGCCAGAGGTGGGAACTAGTTGGTTTCTACAACTTTTCTTGGTGCTCTAAGTATTACTCTATAATTATAACTGATTTGTTAGAATTGTAAGAATTGGCAGTGGCCGTTGAGGCCATCAAATCCTAACTCTGCTCAGTGAAACAATCTCTTTCAACTCATGTTCAATTCCTGCAGCCATCACAGACAGGTTCACCTAGTTTTCTTGGAAGCAGTTTGCCACTGGTTTTTTTCCCCCCCAGGGTGTCTTTTCAGCTCCTGAATCTGGTCCTCAGCTGGGAGAATTGTGGTAGTCTCTCTGCTCAGTACTAGAGTCCAGATTAAAGCATCCTTATTGATGTTGGCCATCCGTCCTTGGCATTTGGAATTCAGGGTAAGGTTGCTCATCCCTTTCTTTCATCATTGGCTCTGTTGTCAAACTGCTCTTAGGAAGCTTCTTCTAATGCTCAAACAAAATCGACCTTCCTTTAATTACAAGCAGTCCTGAGTTAACAACCATCATTGGGATTGGGAACTTCATCGTTAAGTGACGCAATCATAAAGTGAAAAATCACGTGACTGTGCCGACTTATGATGGCAGTTCCAGTTGTGGTTGTTAAGCGAATCACACACAGTAGTTAAGCATGGTGTCATGTGACTGCGACTTCCTGCCAGCTTCCCCACTGACTTCGCTTGTCAGGGAAGATCACAAATGGTGATCATATGACCACGGGACACTGCGACCTTTATAATTGTGTGCCAGTTGCCAAGCGCTCAAATTGTGATCGCATGATTGCGGGGATGCTGTGACGGCTGCAATTTCAAGGACTGGCTGTAAGTCTCCTTGTTCGGTACTGTCGTAACTTCAGGCAGCCACTGAATGAGTGGTCACTAAGTGAGGACTACCTGTATTATACATTCTGGGGCAGTGAAGTACAGGGTTCAATATAACAAGCTGGTTGGATCATTTTTTTTATGTTGTGGCAATACCGCACTGTAAAGCTTAACAATACTGGAAAACGATTCATTGCAGAATTGAACAAATTCTGAAAATTGTAATTTTATTGCAACTTGAGATATTTTTACTAAATTCCACCAAACCATATATCCCTTCAAAATACACTGCACTCGCGTTATTGTACATTAATGGCTGCCAGGATTCTCTTTGCCTTTTCTTGCAAAAGGTCTTTGATTATCGCTTCCCATGATAATCCTTTTGATCTTATTTGTGCTCAGCTTTTGGAGCATGGCACTTGGCAAGCCAGATTACCGAGGAAAAAAACAATAAATGAAGATGATCCTTTTTTCCCCCCAAGACCATGTCCAGTTTTGTCTGCAAAGCGCCCAATTTTTTTTTAAAAAAAATTGAGTATGCAAATTACAGGCTGCTCCCTGAAACTACTACTATACTCACATCCTCTTTTGCAAATGAAGGCGATGGTTCTCTCCACTTTTCCTAGCTCTATGTTCCCAGCAACGTCCATGCTAGCTGTTAACTTAGCTCCGCCCATCCCACTCAACGCGCCCCTTCAAACCCACTTTTGCGCGATGGCGTCATGCGTCTTCAGCGCCTGCGCACTGGGGCCGCGGGTCGATTCAAAATAGCGGCGCCGCCGGAAGAAGAGAGGTTATGGCCGACGACGCCGGCGAGAGAACCGTCGCCTGAAGTCTACAAGCGGCAGCGACTAGTCCACCGAAACCCGGTGAGCGACGCGCCTTGCGGGCGGCCAAACGGGAATGAAGAAATAAAAGTCCTGTCTGAGGAAAAGTCGGCAACTGAGGCCTCGGGACGAAGGTGACAAACGCGCAGAAAAAGGGGCGGGAGAAAAGTCCGGGGAACTGCGCGTTGATTGGTCTTGTGGGAGGTGGGTGGCCAATAAGGAGGGGAAGCCGAACTCTGGGTATTCGGCGTTTCGATTGGCGCAGCGGAGCGCGGCAAACTAAAACCGCCCTCTGATTGGCCAAGAGGGGGGTTGGCGGAATCAGGCCGCTGTGGGCGCGGAGCCGCTGCGGTTTGAAGCGCGCACGCGCGGGATGCCTCGCTTAGTTACGGCATTTTAGCTCGCGTTACCTGGCGAACGCCGGGCTTCTCGGCGCCTGGCAGGTAACGAGCCTCGAGAGCCTGCAACTTCCCCACGTACGCGTACAGTAAAGCGGAAGCGGCCTTGCCCGCCGCGTCCCGTCCTCGAGGGCGGGAACTACGACTCCCAGGAGGCTTAGCCGCGGGATGAATGACTTCCGGGAGCTGCCCTTCCCACGTGTCCGTGGAGCATCAGCTGGCGCCCCTGCCCGCTGAGCGTTCTTCGTGTTTATTTATTTATTTAATTTATTTATTTATTTACACTTCAAATTTGTCGCC